ATCTGGAAATTAAAACAATAATAATGAAACATTTATTTCATCTCTTTTCTTTTGTAGTTTTACCTCACGTTTGAACCCTTTACCTATGAGCATGATAGTACACTGATAAAAGGATCAACACAGATCTTTCAAAGTGAGAAATAGGGCTATCACCAGAAGGTAAGATGCTAGTGATGAAAATTCTACATCTATCACAGTATTTAGAACTAATCATTTACTTCAAGGTCTAACTTTTTAGGTGAAGCCCACCAATCCATTCCATCTGTATCCTGAAGCCTACCCAGAAACTGCATTTAGAAAACCTCTGCCTAATTCTTTGTTGGATCATATGGAACAGGGGCCCTCTCCCATGCCCTTTTCCTAATAATCTCTCACTGAAGAACAGCAATTGGCAGGATTGTGGCAGCTAGGCCATCAATATTTCAAAGGCCAGCAGTGTCACCCATAGTGGACAGGTGTCAGTAGAGTTTCCAGATTAAGAAAGACTAAAAAGAAAGTCGTGGAGGTTTACCTATTTTTTTTATATAAGGTTTTTATTGTGAATTAGGCGGGGGTTTACCTATCAGGTCATCATTGTTGTATTAAACAACTTTAACAGATTGTTGCCCTTCTAAATAGCTTTCCCTTCTAAAAGTAAGTCCATGAAAAACTTATGGATCACAACAGAACGTTTTCTGGTTTGCTTTCTTTGGACACATCCCCGGGGAGCGATCGATGGCTAGAGGAGGCCATCAAGCTTGGTGAGGTAGAGAACCAGGGACAGTGAGGGAGACTGGTAGAATGATCACAATCGTGCCCTTGCACGTGCTGCTGGTTGTGAGATGACACAGGACCAAGCGGCATTTAGGTATGCTGGACAGGGTTTTGCTTACTCAGAGTTGATTCAATAGCAGCTGACAACAACATGCATAATTTAAATCACGGAGTAGAATGGTTTCAGTCAAATCTCTACTTCATTGATAAAATATCTGACATGGACCCTAATTTGGTCCCATCATGGATTTCTGTTAACATGTCAAAACTTAATACAAATGTGTATGGATACATGTGAATTTTAAATTTATTCTTTAATAATAAGTTTGACAAACTATTACATGTCAACAGGACCAACTGTTTAGAAGATAGATGAACAAATCAACCAACGTGTTCAGATCTTGTTGCTATTTTGCAATCAGAAGAAAAGATCAACCTGGAATATTGACTTTAGTTTCCCCGCCCAGCTGCAAACCTCCACATTCCTGCTGATTCTCGGCCCTGCCTCCCGCAGTTCTAGCTCGACAATCAAACTGCCTCGGCCGACACCCTCAGCAGCCGGGTGACTTCGAATCAATCACAGATGACACGGTCATCATAAAGCTGCTTCTTACTTTTACCTAATCCGATGTGTAAACATTTCCCTTGCATTCTGGAGATGAGGCGTTAGGAATGATTTTCACCTGTAAATGTCATCTTCATGTTTTCCCGACTCCTCGTTCAAGCACACAGGTGAACTCACGTTGTCACCAGTCACCTGAGTTAGTATTTCGTCCTGCCCTTTAGATTGCTCCCACCTCTCCAGCCGATGGTTCCCTCTTCACAGCCAGCCTCACGCTGTGGGTCTCAAATGGCCTTTTCTAACGTTTTGCATTTAGTGGCACCACTGAGGCAAGAATGGGAAGAAGTGAGGATGCACTGAAAAAATGATGATCCGCACGAAGGGGAAAAAGTATTCACAGTTGCAGCTGGGTTTTCTTTCCAGTGTTAGATTATGAACTAAAGCCCATCCCTTTTCATTTGACAGAAAAATGCTGAGATATTTGATTTTCTTCTGTAGTGCACTTGTTAAATACAAGCAGCATTTAAATGGGTAGAATGTAACGTTACTTTCAGTGTGCTTAATAAAATGGTAATAGATTCACTTATTTAGATGCTCCGGAAGAAATAGATCCCCACTGGATAGTCGAAGTTAGGATGCATTTTCTGCATATATTAACATGAAGAGATGAGCAAATCTTATCAGGAATGATTGTAACCACTCTGGAATTACCCTTAAAAAGTAGAAAATAGAAATCTGAATTTACAAACCTCCTCCTCCTTCTCTTTGATGGCAGCACATTTGAAAATGCACTCGAGATTTGAGCTCTGGAAGGTCTCCCTGAGCTTGCCAAAATAGTTGGGGTATCAGGAATCAGCTCATCTGAGACTTTTCTAACTCACTGTGTTGGTCTGGGCTGTCCAGAGAAGGAAATCCAGTGACACTCATATCTAAAAGGAAGAGCCATACATCAAGGAATAAGTGTATGTCATGAAGGGATCCGAGCCCCGCCCAACTCAAGTCCCTCAATCCTATGCTAGCACATAAGTCCCTCATCAGTGTCATGGAGCTACATGCCAGTGACACAGAAAGGTGAACTGGGAAGACGTAAGCTCCAAGCCAGTGGGTGCAGAATCACATGGCTCTAAGGGCATTGGCAATATGACAGGCCCCAAGCAACTCTCAGGGTCAGGTGACCCATATGGGACCACTTATCATGACAAGCAGAGTGTCAGCAGGCAGGAAGGCCAAGGGTCAAAGGGAGAGTGGTTCCTAGAGCCCCTCATTCTTATATGGATTGACAGGTTTGACGCCACCCCTAGTCTGGAGGGTATAGTTGACACAGTCCCTAACTATTCCACTCACTCTGCTGGTTTGGATAGCTTTGGGAACTCAATGGTTCAATTTAAAAGTCACTGTAACCCTCTAAGGGCCAAGATCACTAAGGTTGCAGCCCAAACAACAAATACTCATGTACCTAAAACAACTTAAAATTCTTTGCATCTATTCTGAAATGATCATTATAGATGCACCTGGAATATGATGATAGTATGGATCAAGATTAATTTTACCCGTGTGTTATTACTATATTTTTGCAAGGCTCAGGAATACTTTGTATATACTGTATACAAGAATAATGCAGATACCATGTAATAAAGAAAAGGAGGGCTATTCGTTCATTTGGAATTACTTATTTAGATGAATATAATCAATGTCCTGGAACACTAATTGTCAGCCTTCTACACATCCTGATTCCTCTTATAGCAGAAACAATGAGATAATTAAAAGCCACCCATATTTTATTTGGAGTCTTCTGCCAGATTTCTGGTTTCTTTTTTACCTAGGGATATAGGTCTATTATATTTGGATGTTTGTGGATCAGCACCTTATGGGCAAGAGCTGGGCTTCCCTTGTCTGGGCATTCGAAGACTTACCATAGAATCCGAAACTTCTTAGATGCTCAAGTAAATGTATGTTCCACAATAATGGTCTTATTGCATGTAACTGTACAAAAGAATGCAAGTTTCATTATTTTGCCTCAAAACAGAATTTTGCTGTTGTGTAATATCTGTGAGGCTGGTGCACAGTAACCACACTGTATGTACTCAGTCTCCTGGTGGGCAGGCAGGGTCTGAGTTTGGTGCCTGCAGTGTGGTCATCTGTGCTTTACACTCTCCTCTCTTTGCTTGGGTTATCTTTCATTTCCTTCTCTGTAGACAGTAAATTCCCTGAGTACAGAGATGATGGCTTATGTTGGGTGTCACCACACCCAATGTTTTGGTGTATAAGATATCACTACTCAGCACATGTATTGTCTGAATGATACTTATAGTGGCAAAGGTAACATGGAGGGGAGTTAATCTTTTTTGGACTTTTACATGATCTTGGAAATGAAGCCTCTTAGATTTGTCCTGCTTCATCTGTTCTGATGTATCTTCTCTATGACTCGGTTCTATTGAGCCAACCTTTGGATTTACTATTTTTAAACCCTATCCTTATAAATGCCATGTGATTTGTGGGGAAGAATTAGGCTTTGAAATTAAACAGACCTGGATCAAGTCCTGCATTTATAATTTACCGATTGTGTGACCTTGTGCAAGGTACACAATCTCTTGGAGCCTGCTTCCTTGACTGTGAAGGTGAATGGCATGTCACCGACCTGGAAGGGCTATTGAGCATTGATTGGATTCTTGCATGTGAAGCACATACGTCGCGCAGGAGCGCTATGTGTAGTAGGCGCTTTTACTTTCGTAACTGCCATCATCTCCACTCCTCCTACGTATTCTACGAACATCTTCCTTCCCCTCTCAGAAATCCCTTTTCTAATCCTGTTTGTTTTATAACCATTGGACTTCTGGGAGTTGATAGAATGGAACACTGTGAACTATCCAAATCTCACTTCACTGGGAACCTTATATCATATCACATTGGACATTGATGAAAGCCTTAGTGAGAATAACCACTATTTGCCCCATTAAGAAAAATATAAGAATAAATGTGAGTTTTCAGAAAAGTGTCCTAAATTAAAGCAAAGACTTACAGAATCAAATGACATGTGAAGAATCTAAGGACATAGCATATATTTTAATTTATGATTTTATTATCTCTTTCTACATTTTATTACATTAGATTCTGAAAGATGGCTTTCACCACAGGACTATTATCCCCAGTATACTTTCGGACTGTCTCACCAGTATTTTTTCTTGAAATAATTGAGTTCCCTGGAATAAACAATTCAGCTCAATATTTTTCATCTCCCTCTAATACACGTGTATTTCATTCCTATAAATCTGAGTGAGGTCAGTCAGGAAATTATACATATTTGTTTTCCACAGGGTATATGAGCTATTAAGTCATGTGGCATTTATTGTAGATCATGTTTGCTATTTCACAAGATAATTTGAATGATTGAGAACAATATTTTTGAACATGTAATACTGGGAAAACTACCACAAAGCAGAAATGAAGTAAAATGTTGCTTATAATAAATACTTAAAATAAAACATTCTGCTGTGATTCAAGCACACATTTACATATACAATATTTCATTCTACAGAGTGCATATTGTTCATTTTCATGGTTCATATGAATATATGTATTTATCTTAAATAAGTAAGTACATGTATTTATATCACTTTGTCTTTTCATTTGGACTGCCAGTAAAATGTGCATGTTTTCCCATTAAATCTTCCTCCTAGCCTCAAATATGTGGATGCTTTCTTGGCTGAGTGCCATTTTAATTATGCTGCTTATTGCTGATATGGATGCAATTGCAAAGACCACACCATATACCAAATTTACAAAGAAATCGGAGGGAAAAGAGACGCCGAAGAGTCTAAAACCGTCCAAGGGTCCTCTGGAAGAAGACGCCCTACTCAGTGATGTGGCTGAAACAGCAGGACCTTCGGCCCTGCACTCAGTTGTTGGCACGGCCACTCTTTTCCCCTTTGAGAACTTCACCCTTGACGCAGCTGATTTCTTTTTGAATTGTTGTGACTGCTGTTCGCCTGTCCCAGGACAGAAAGGAGAGCGCGGAGCACCTGGAAATCCAGGTATGGGAGCACATCTCTCTCTCCCCTATACACCTTTACGATAAACTCTACCTATGAGTTTCTACACTGTCGTGCAAATGGTGTACTATTATTCCAGCAAAGACACACGGACGCTCTGTGGTTCACTGGACTCACTGACCGCAGTGCTGCTGGGTTGAACCTAGCAGCCACTGTGCAGAAGGAAGAGGCGCAGGCTGCTTTCATAAAGGTTACACCCATGAACATGCTATGGGGCAGTTCTTCTCGTCTACAGGTGCTCTAGGAGTGGGAATCAGGTCCGTGTCAATACGTTTGGTGTTTTTCTTTAACCTCATGCATGGCTAACAATATTAAAATGAAAATTTAATAAGAATAAAAATTAAGCTTTTCAGCTTCCAGTCTTTTTCTTCCTGGACTCCTGATCAGGGTAGCAGTTGGACGATTCGGCTTGAAGCGATGGACTATGTATTAACTCCCAATTACTAATACATTAAAAAAAATCAGCTTTTCAGTCACACTGGCAGCATTTCCAGAGCTCTCTGGCCACACGTGGCTACTATACTGGGCAATACAGATATATGAAGTCTTTCTATTTCTTTTCCTTCTATTTTTTCTGAGATTACCATCCCCAACACCGGGGCTATAGTTCTTCAGGCTTTTCATAGTTAGTGCCAATACTTTTTTCCCCCCCCATTAATGGCTGATTTTAAAAGGGTAAATGAAAATTCTGTTTTTTAATATGGATTTGTGTTGACCGAAGGATATTTGGAGTGCTGTTTGTAGTTGGGATTAGAAGTGAATGCCTGTGATGTGGAGAATAGAGAATTCAGCTTGCTCCTCATTAAAATTCAGAGGCCACAGTCTATCCTGGCCCAGCCATTAAAAGCCATGGTTACACATCTCAAAATTTCAATTGTCTTTAATATATGCATAATAAATATACTCTCAGTTTTACTGTAATAGACTTCAGCTTTTATATTGGCATATAGCAAAGGATTCAAGGTAAAATAAAGGTCAGAATGTCAATGTCAAATTCACTATTTCCCCACCCAAAAAAGTGCATTTAACTGTTGTGCCTTGCTTGAAAAGTTTCAAGTTATAAATTTAATGGTTCCGTATACTTCTTCAGCTTTCTGTTCATGCCATTGCACTGCTATGGACCTTTTAGGAAATGTGCTGAATATTTATGCAGAACTGGATTAAAGGAGGAGAGAGTTGGGCAGTGGTTGGCGCCCCATGCTCTCAGTTATGCTAAAGCATTATTGAAAATGATAAAAAAAAACATTGGAGAAAAATACACATATTTTCCAGAACTTCTCGTAAGAAGGCAAACTATCATATCTTCTTGGCAATCTACTGAGGGTGGAGGTCGGGCCTGGTGAAAAGCCAAAGGACCTGGTCAAGAAAACACATCTGGCCGTTACACTGCCTTCCAGGGACCGCGGGTCTGTGACATCAGGGCCATGTGGTTGAGCTGTTGCCAGATTCAGTCTCTTCCATAAATATATCTGAGAGATATTTGTTAGGTGTGTTATGTTATTAGCCTGTCTGGAGTTACTCATATGTCTTAGTCTAAATAACTCTGCAAGGAAACCTGGTGCTGAGGTGGTTACGAGTTAGGCTGCTAACCGCAAGGTCAGCAGTATAAAGCCACCAGCTGTTCCTCAGGGGAACAACGA